ATTAATCATTATTATTCGTATTATTGAGGATTTTCCAGTTAAACTTTGAGCTTGTACAATTGATTCTCAGTGAGAAGAATAAGATACTCATTTGTGGCAACAGCACCGACGATGGAGAGGGCCTTGGGGCCCAGGTCGACGATTTTTTGTCTAGCGATCCTGGCATTTGCCCCAGGTCTCTCATAAATAAAGGCATGTCTTGTGTCTTCCACGATGACGACGTAGTGACCATTCCCTGGTGAAATGCAGAATTTTTTATTACTTTTACTGGCCTCCACGTACCCAAAACCAGGGAAAGTGCTCTCGTGGTTGAGTTGCCAGTCGTTAGGGACCTCTTGGAGATGCCAGACACAGCCGTCGTGATCCTGACGTATGCAGAGACGTTGATGTTGAGTGAAGAGGAGACGATTGTTAGTCCCCAGGATGGCGAGATGAGTTGTCAGGTGGAATTCCAGGTTTATCCTCTGGAGGTAGCTCTGATTGCCCTCCAGGTCGCACTCCTCCAGCTGGTCTGCGTTGAAACCTATTGCTGGCTGTCCTGTTTCAACTTCTGAGGCATCTGTGCAGAGGTGGGACAATCTGGAATATTCCAAAGGAGAATTAGATGAATTATTTAATTAGTATAGAGAAATTCTAGTTATTTGACAAGTTTTTTTTCTCATGATGCACCTGGAGTGAATTTCAGCAGCCAGTCTCTCGTTTGGCAGATGCTCTCCCTCAGTGTTCCCCTGGATGAGTTCACTCCACATCTGTCCAGGAGCTGCCTTCATCACTTCCACCTTGAAACCGTTTGCTTCCTTGCCCCAGGTCGCTGTATCTGGGTCAATCGAAAATTGACAGTTTCCCTGGATGAGCACCTCATCCTCGACAGAAATCCGGAGTGAATTTGCTGTGACGTCGACGACGACCTGCGCATTGTTATGCCTCTCTGGGATTTTCACCCAGACTATCACCGAATCTTCATCCTGGGACCAGTAGTGACTGGGTATTTTTACCCCAGGAGAGGACTCCTCCGAGGACTCATGAACTGGCTTCATCGAGTCCTGAGTAAATCTCGCAGGGTCTCCACTGAGGACGACAATAGAATCCCCAGATGACTCGATATAAGCGTAATCCACCGATCCATTCACCACCAGCTCCTGCCTCCTGGACAATTTGGGACTCTCTACATTTTCTATCGAGTAATTCAGCACTACTATCTTGGATTTCTTCTTATTGCTCTCCTCGATGATGCAGGACATGAGGATGATCAGGGAATTATTCTCCTGGAGGTGCTGTGCGTCCATCAGAACTCCAGAATCAATTTCTTTTAGAGTAAGGATCACCTTCTGCTCTGGATTTTCATTATTTGGTAGGATTACATCGAGAGAACTTCCTCCGGAGCTCACAACGATGATTTCCTCGGAGGCGAATGATATCGTGGAGTTGAAGGACCTGGGGCTGCTGTTGGGGAGAGAGTGGACGTGATGGAGGGTTCCATCTGGCTGGAAACACCACAGAGTGTCATCCTCGTCGACGAACCAGCAGGAGTCGTCGTAGGGGCTCTGGAATAAATGATTGTGGAAGGCGAACAGACGAGCCTCCAGGAGAGAGTCCTGACCAGGGGATGGCACTCGGTGGATCACCTCTGAAAAATTAACAGAATCATTTATTTATTTTTTATAAACAAAAAAATTATGATGATATATCGATGTTCAATATAATTCGATTTCTTACTTTTTGGCAGATTTATCTCTTCGGTGACTGGAATGACTTCCGAGGAGAACTGATATTTCTCAAAATGATTGTTCAAGAGTTCTTTTCTCGGCCGGAGTTCAATTATTTTTGGCATCCTCTAATAATATCGTGGGCCTAAAAAAAAATTGATTTATTTATTGAATTAAAAAAGTCTTTGATTAAAAAGACCTAGTTCTCTTGAATTCATGAAACTGATTCAAACTTTTTGGTTCGTTTTTCTGAAACGATTGGAAGTTCGATATAATACCGATTTCGATTAATTGATATTGCGGGTCTATCGACACCTTTGGATGGAAATCGATACTTTCGACTCGCAATTCGAAAAGAAGAAAGAAACTAGCATATAATTGAATTGAAGAGTTACCCGACGTTTTCCACCATTTTTAATCGTAGAAAACTGGCCGACAAAAAGAGCACCAAAAAATCGAGCTAGTTCTCGGATTAGAAAATGATCTTTCGGATTAGGAAATATTTCCAAAAAGTTTTGCCTCAGAAAAACTGACAAATTACTTCACAATTTATCAAAAATTCCAAAAAAATGTCGAATAAATTTATTTATGAGTTGTAGATAAATAAAATAAATAAATGATAAATGACATCAGGAAAGATCCAAAAATTTACTGCAATTACAACGTGACTAAACTTTTTTATTCCATTAGAAACAATATCGCTCTACTAATTATATACATCAACATAATATCGAATATCTTATTTGTAATAAAGTAATAAATGTTATCGATTAGACGTACAACGAATCCTATCGCAAGTATCGAGACCAACAAACGAGTAATACCTGAACAATGTGGCCTTGTAAATACTTATCTTACACTACAGATCAATAAATTGTTCAAACTCTCAGTGTAGAAGCGTCAAAATACTTTAAAAAAATCCTGTCATGAAGTGTAATGAAAAACCTGGAATTTCTCTCAGAAATAATCTGAAATTAATTAGTAAATCAATCATCAACTATTAATTACTCTGTACAAATCATTCCCATCGAAAAATTTCGCAGATTTTTATCTTCGATTATTTCCATAAATTCCATAGAATTACAATTAAACAATTCAAATACCTTTTTCGGTATGCACTCAGATTTCCCTACACAACTGATTTCCAACAATTGAAAAGAATTAGCAATAATTAATCCGAGAAATTACAGATTTATCTATTAAATTGACACACGAATAAAGACCTGAAGATAAATAATAAAAACCCAAAATGAAAAACACTGATTTCCCAATTTTCCTAACCAAAAATAATTCCTAAATTTCCCCCATTTCCCAGAATCCAAATAACCTAAATTTCCCAGAATCAAAAATTCCATAATAATCTCAAAAGAAAGATCACTAATGACT